GGCCCCCATACTGTCGTGGGGTTGACGAACGAATGAAATATTTCAAGTCTGTTTTTTTCTCTTCCGATGTAATCACCCGCGACAGGAGATCACAGGAATATCCCAAATGGGACCAAAATATGAACGCCTCGAAGCCGAGCCATAACATTGACCGGACTGGATTGACGTGGCTCCTTTCTTCTCCATAGCCCTCCATCATTGTTGTTCATTCCTTGATGCGTTCCTCTCATTCTCCCTCGTTGCCCTCCAACACAACCTGGCACCACGACTATTACCTAGATACCGCCAAAACAATCCTGCGCCACGCTGGATTATCCTGATCTATTCTTCTGATCTTGGATTATTCAATCCCTAGAAATTACTATTACCAGCTAGTGCTTTCTCCTTCTTCCTCTTCAGCCAATACTGCCAGTTACTGTCCTTGTTCGGGCTGCTGACCTGCCTCCCTTCCCAAGACTCCTGGCGTCATCTGCTATCTACCGCTCCCTCGGGCCTCCCTTCACATTCCCCTAAGCCCCTCCATCCCTCGGGATCGTGCCCTATAACATACTCTCTAAGCCCTTTAGACGCGCAAAAGGCTTTGCATCTGAACACCCCATCGTATGACTGAAGTATCCTTACTTTTCGTCTGGTTCCAGCTGCTGAGATTTTCTTGCCTCGCCTCATCTCACCTCATGAGCACATCCGACTGGATGCTGTGTCATACACGAAAACCTGGGCTGGGCGATTGTTCCATAAGAAGTGAAAGGATATTGTGATCTGATTTGCATAACAATTATTTATATATATTCTATCCCTACCTACTTTGTACCATCGTCTTTTTATTTTTTTATTTTTTGGGTTATTTTATCTGGTACCTTTGATACCTGCCAGTTTTATACGGAGGCCCGTGAACAAGAGCACTTCGCTTGCCGGGACTGACATTACAGAACCCCGACGCATCTTTTTTTCGCACTATCGCATTCAAAGACATCATGGAATCTTACAGTGCATCATCGTGTCAAGATCGTTGTGCCCGAACAGGGGGCAGCTCTAGTTCGACCGACAGCGAAGCCTCGGATCGGTCGAAAAGCACGGCCCCTACGGTCTACAGCTATCGGCCCACATCTAAGCGACGTCCAGAAACGGATCGCTTCACCATGGACCCTAGGGATTCCACATCAACGTATGCATCCACGATACCATCGACCGACGAGTTACCGGAAGACCCGCAATATGAGGTTATCGACCGAAAGCCGGAGATCTATGCTACTGACGCGATCCCTTCCAATCCAACCACCTTTGCAGAGCTATTCCCCTCATCCCGACGGCTGCTGATTCGGCACGATGATTCGACACTAGATGGTAATATGAATCTACGGGTTGACACTCTAGTGCCTCAAAGGGGCGGCTATCAACAAGATGTAATCCTCTTTCATCTCCGCATGTATGACTTGTTCTCGAGAAAGTTCTCATTTCGGCGCTACTGTCGGGAGTCTGGTCGTGAGATCTGTCGCTCAGAAAGGAGGCCCAGGTCGTCCAGTATCGACAAGAGGCCCATTCTTCGGCGCTCCTGGAGCAGTGTGTTGGCAAGCTTGCGGCCTGGGTCGAGTGGAAATGGATCGATAGCTGGCGCCGAACATAAGCGCCACGACTCGGGATATCACTCGATCAAACAGGAAGATGCGAATTTGGATGATGCAACAGCAGATGCCAAGGAGTGTCCCAGTCGCCCTGTCGCTCTCGCAGATACAACGGTGTTAGAGTTTTCTAATTATGCGCATGTAGAGGTCAAGAAGCGAGGCGCAGGGATACGCAAGCGGTACGAGTTTGAGTATTGGTCCACGAAATACCAATGGAAGAAAGAGTGCAGGAAAGAAGGGGATTTGCGGGAAGTGTCGTACCACCTCATCGACACGCGGACGTCCAAGACGATCGCTCACATTGTGCCCGAGATCCTCACGCCAGTGGAAGCTGTCGAGGAGGAGAGCAAGGGTGGTTGGGTTCCCCCGTCCTCAATGTGGATTAGCGATTCATCGGTGTACGAGAAAATGCATGAGGTTGCCGAGTAAGCTGGGGCCCCCTCTCCCTCTCAAGGACAAGAACAAGTTCCGCCTCACATGAACACGATACTGATCGTCTTGCAGTGTGATCGTAGCCACAGGATTGATTGTTCTAGTTGATGACTGTATTCGACAGCGATGGCACTCGAAACATCATACGGACCCCAGTCATCCGGCTAAATCCTCTTTCACAAAAAGCATTGAGTTGATGGGGCCTATGCGACTTATTGAAGAAGTGTTTCACCGGCGGGGATCCGCCTGATTCCAATGGATGTGATGACGACGCGCGAAGGAAGTTGGGTCAACTCGTCGCCACGGTGGTCTGACTCGTGCGTTAGCGAGCACTGCTATCGTGATGTCGACGTGCAGTGGCGCGAACCCAACTCCCAGAATTTTCACAACATTGATGAATCTGGATAATGATGCCTGATTACCGGCCATTTTCAGGCTGGATCCCGTGCATGTCCGCGTATCTGGTTCGCTGGCGACGAGGATCCCAGCTAGACTTGCTTGCTAGTTGTTGTTGTCGTTGTCCCTCGAATGTGTAACAGGAACTCTGCGGCCACTAGTTATCGCTGCATTGACACTTGTCGGTCGACTCTGGGGCGGATGACCTCCTTTCATTTCTTTTTTTGGAAGTATGATTAACGTGTATATGATTGCATGGTTAATTTTGGGATAGCGCTTCCAGAACCTGTCTGGAGTGTGATAGGGAAATGATGGGTGCATTAAAGATCTTCGATTATTTCGTGTTGAACCGAGTCATTAGCAACGTACAGGAACCATGGTTCATGGTAGCCGACGGCCTCACTAGCGAGTAGCGACCCCCTGGTGGGCCAGTCCAGCGCTTAAGATCAAGACGAAGCGCGAATGATTTGCTTAGAATGAGTGGAAATGAGGAGCCAGACGAAAAAGGGGGAGGTAAGGCAAGAGGAAGGAAATCCTGGGTTTGAGATTCCGAAAGTTCACCATCTTCTTCTTACTACCTACCTACCCTTACAATATAAGGTACCTTGGCCTGGTAAGGTACTTACTTCTACGGAAGGCTGGAATGATTGGACCAGACTTCATCCCGCAACTCAAAGGAAGTCTTTTTCCCCCCTTCATTTCTATTCCTTTTCCCATTTGTCCGTTCTTTCCTTGTCTTTATTGGCGAAAATGCTCGAGATAACAGCCGAGAGCTCTTCCAGCTATGGCCATATACCAATTAAGCTTGTCCTGCGGGCGATGCGGGGCAGATCGAGGCTCGTCAATGTCCCTTTTTATTCCATCGAATCAAACGGCTTGATGGGCCTTCAATGAGCTCGTGTGGAAGCGATTCAACTTTCCCCGGTGCTATGATAGATGATGGCATATAGCGTCTGATGCAGGTGATCTATAACTCTGTGGTCCGCGATACTTTTCCGTCCACATCGCTTCGTCCCTAGCTATCGCTGTCATTTATTGTCGTTCTGTAGATGACGGCGATGAACAACATGAAGACGCACGTATGTATGCCCAACATAGTGCCAGAAGAAAGCAACGAATCATGATGGCCCCTTTTCGGCAGACGGTTTGGGTCAACTTTGAGCCTAATAGACGTCTCTCTTCGCTGGCAAAGCTGTGCTCCATGCAAAAGGTTTGCTTTAACCGCACGAGCTGGCTGTTTCATCTGGTGTTGCCTGTTTGGGTTGAGGTTCCTGCCGGGATATCTCCAACACCCTTGTCTTCTTCTGCTTGCTGTCGCTTCTTACCTGTCTCCAACCCTTTGCCCCCATGGCATCTGTTCATGCAGAGCGGCCTGGTTTTTTGACCATTCGTTTTCCAGGGCTGACAGGAACGATGTGTTTCTAAAAGTCCTCGGTCCAGATTCATAACTGAATCATTGATGAGCTGGCATTGTGGTCTCTGGGCCCGCTTTCAATCTTTACAGGGGCCTTACTGGCTGGTGTGAGCAAATCCTGACTTCAATTCGTCGCTTCTGCTCCTATGGGGCCCCTCTCCGCTTTTGGGCAACTAGACCACACCCCTCCACTATGTGGACATTCCAGAAGGAGGGGCTTCCGCCTTTCTTGTCCTTGGAGAAGCGTCCATGAGGCGTCTAGAATCTTCATACCCGATAAGAAGCAATGTTTGCTGGAATCAACTGAAGGAAAGGGAGAGAGGATGTGTCAAGGCAAGAGAAAGGAGACGAGATGTCTATTGTTCAAGGCTTCGGATCTGTGAACTGGCTTTCTTGTGCGACAGCAGTTCCTTTTGCCTCTGCGCCATCCGATCCTTGCCATCAAATGGATCTGGTTCTCGGTGGAGCTCTGTCGCACCTTTTTCTTGGTAACTGGCGTTTCTTCAGGGTGCATTCTCAGTCGGCGTGCGCCGGGCCGTTCCAGCATTGCAGCCTCAAAATGATCCGCATGTTCTCCATGCAACTGGCGGCCTTTTGACTGGAGGACCAGGGAGGGGGGAGAATTTGCTGGCGCTGTAGCTTGTCCCCAGCGACATGCATAAGCCCGACTGTTAGGTTTCATGGTTAGGCTCCGTGTTTGTCACGCCAAAACAGTCTTGCTTGCACAGTGAAAATAAAAAAAAACGATTTGGGGTCAAGCATGGCCCACAGTTTATATGACCCCCCGCTTCCCATGTTCATCAGGGCTATTTGAGTGGGAAAGAGAAAATTCAAAAGAGGTATTATTGTCTTATCAAAAGCGAACACAAAAAACTCTTGGCTCGATTGATCCTGCTCCTTGAGGATCTCCTTTTTTTTATTCATTTTCGCCTTCTAGAAACCGTCCGCATTCCAGTTGGCACTTGCTTGCCTCTTTTTGGGCAAAAGTTCTACGGAGGGGTCGTTGGCTCTTGATATACTCAAATCTTCTTTACCCTTTAATCTTCTTCAATTTCAGCCCTCATTATTGTGGCCGGTAAGGGACCACGATATCGCGAAGAATCATATTGTATTTTGGACAAGCAAACCACTTCAACATGGCCTCGACTCAAGGAAATGTTGGTCGGAAGGCTGAATGGATAGAGAAACTTGAGAGTATGCCCCACTTGAACTACAATTCTTGAAGGAATCGTCAATGTGCCGTGTGGGTTTATCATTCGTGGGACTAATTCCAGACTGTATCTTCCTACAGAGCATTGCAAAACTGCAGGCCTTGGAGACCCGGTGTACACATTGTTCTCCGATCGTCGAGGTAACTGAACCCCTTCGCCACTCTCCATCTTTTTTTTTTCTTCCCCATTTCACAGATCCTGAGTGAGAGTATATTCTTCCTTTGCGTTGCATCTTCTCCATCCATTCCTCTTCCTGGAAATCTACCCTTAGGTGAACTGAATGTTGCCCTGTGTGTCGCGGCATCATATTGTGGAGTAACCTTTTCCTTCACCGACTTTAGACCTGACAGCTTGTTGTACCAAGTGCTAACGGCTTTACGTCTTCAAACAGGAGGTCGGACAGCTTGGAGCTCCAGCGTGAAGGTACAAGGTAGAGCATATGCTGCGCGGTACTGGTACGATGGGAACTTCACAATTAACGCCAAACATGACGCTGCAGAGGTAGCTCTCACGCTCCTGACCTACCAACAGCAACCACAAGCTCGCAGCGAAACTCTTCCAGGAAAGGTGTGGCCGTAGCAGGCCAGCAAATACGGAAATATGGTTATGATAGGATAAGATGGGATTCAATGGGTTCGACACAGTTGAGAACTACTTTCATTTCTCTGTCTAGTTTGCTTGGGCTGGACCGATTACTAGCCTTTCTCCCCTCCGGTTTTTCTCTTTTTTGCTTTTCCCTTTGTGGCCCCTATGACCGCGTACGACGACTTGATGCCCGACCCTTCGAGTTCCGCAGACGTTATGTACAACATTCTCGGCTGTCGACATTCTTCTTTGTGCAATATCCTGCAACAAGCACTGGAACACATCGATGACTACGATGCTGGAGTGGGTGGACAATCGGGAAACGAACATTTCCCGGATGCCCCTCGCCGCAACTTTTTCTACAGGACTACAGAACACCAGCCCCTGCCATATTTGCTCGGCTCTTTTCGTTTTACAGTCTCTATTACAAGCGGCCCGGTTATTCTCTTTTGTTCGACTTATCGACCTTCTGTACAATTCTCCTCTATTTCCTTCCAGTTTCGCAAGGCACTCGCACTACTGAGACCTTGCTACGATATTATGACGACAGAACAGTGACGGACAATTCCGATACTCGAATTTGGTTTCATTGCGTGCATTTTGGATTCTTGATGTCAAAATCTTTTCACCTTTCTGGTGATTCCAGCGCCTGTGTATGTTTCTTGTGACAGTCATACCTAGACATGTCCTGCCATTTGCTCCTTGTGTACGCGGATCTAGCCGAACTGGATCCCAACGGTACCAAACCGGACAGGGATCCCAATTCTTGCTCGTGCGAATCGACCATCTAGGAGGAATGGTCTCGTTTCCCTGCCACGTGCCAGTTCTGGGCCATCAAAGTAGACAGTAGGACTCCTTTTTTCCGTTTTTCCCACCCACTTTGTGCCCCTGGGTTGCCCCACCTTCTTGAACTTTCAGGTCTGTTGGGGACTTGGTGACTGCTCTAGAAGGGCTATTTTATGCACTAATTGTGTGGGTGCGTTGTTCAGCTGAAAATCACGGTGTTGAATAAAGCACGGTTACAGCGTTCCGTATCCTTGGTTGCACCATGTCACATCTTGAGCTTAACCTTAAATTTTCCGGCTGACCGTTCGGCGTTCACGTGCTGACCGGATAAGTCTATTCCGCTTGTGCGCCAACTGGTCATGGCCAGCCTCGGCAACGGCTAACTCTATGTGTTCTCGCTTGATTACAAGGTTGAATATGGTATTTTCGCCAAAACTGTCTAGGAAAGACAGAGGGGGAAATAAGATCACCATGAACCCAGTTCTAACTTCCATCAATAAGCAAATACTCTCCCGCTTGCTCTGTCTCTGCAATTCAACCACCCGTAATAGCACCGCAGCATGATGCACCCCGCACAAACAAACAAGAGTAATCCCGCGTTGGTCCAGTGGCCCGTCGGGTATCCCCTCTTCGCTTCGTTGGCTTTGTAAATCCATACGCCGACGATTTGGCCGGGGGCGCCGAAGGAGACGTTCAGAGCTATTGCTAGCCCCGTGCCGGCTGTGGAGCGGAGGTTGGAAGAGAGCCAGCCTAGGAGCGGGGGGATGCAGGCGAATGCGCCGCTTGTGGCGACGATGAGGCAGCCGTAGCGGTGCTAATGACACTAACGTTTAGTGGATTTTTTGTAGGGAAGGGGGTTGGGGGAGGTACTAAGTAAGCGTCTGGTGGGAGGACGGCGGACGCTAGGAAGCCCATAGCGCCAATGAAGGAGAAGAGGGCGGAATGCAGGCCACGGCTGATGGTACATTGTTAGTGTGTGTTGTGAGGCATGGTGCTGACGCGAGGACTCGTACCTGTTGAAATGATCGGCGGACCAGGCTGCGGCTGTTGTCACGACATAGGCTACAGCCCATGGGGGCACTGTCATGAGCTGCGCGCGTAGGTTGGTATACCCGAGCCCGCTGGTGATTGCGGGCGTAAAGAGAGAAAGACTGGAAAACGGGGCGGATATGCCGAAGTAGACCTGTGGAGGGGCATTAGTTGGGGGGACAGTAGTGGGCTGAGAGCAGGCAACAGACGGCATAGTGTGCGTAAAGACGCCAATCTGTTAGCACGGCTTTGGCATCCTCCCACGTCATGGCTTTGGCTTCTCCCTTGGAGCCTTCCGTTCGCAGCCGTTGAGCGGCGAGTTCTCTCTCTTCTTGTGTGAGCCAACGAGCTGATTCGGGATAATCTGGTAGAAAAAACCAGACTAGAACGGCTGAAGCGCACGATGGTGCTCCCTCGATGATGAATAGCCATCGCCACGCAGATAGTCCATGGACCTGGTTCATGTGGCCCACGCCGTATGCGATTGCACCGCCAAAGGCGCCGGCTAAGGTAGCGGATGCGAGAATCAAGGCCACGCGTATGGAGCGCTCAGAGTGTCGATACCAGAAGGTCAGATAGTAGACCAAGCCAGGGAAGAGCCCTGCTTCCATTACTAACGGGTGTCAGTCATTCCCTGAACTAAGTCCCTGGTCTTGGGAGAGGATATACCTCCTAGCAAAAAACGGAGGCCGGTGACCTGAGCGAAGTTATGGGTTCCTCCCAAGCCCATTGTGCACGCGCCCCATGACAGCATCAAAAACGCAATCCATCTCTAGGTTTCATAAGTCATAAGTTTCTTATTTCGAACGCAGGATTCTAATGGCGTACACTCGGCCTAAGCTTCTTCAAGAAGTAATTCGAAGGGACTTCGAACAGCGCATAAGCAATGAGGAACACCATAAGCGCAATCCTGGCATATGTCAGTATCTACGCTTTAGCGTCAACTATTCGGCAAAACCTACGTGTATTGATACGAGGTCATCTTAGTCTCGGACAGGAGGTCATTGTGCGTATTCTGGTTGAGGATCTTTGCATTTCCTAAGCCGACCAGGATGAGGACCGGCCGAGCAAGAGTCGGATCCATGCTTACCAATGTTAGATCTATCTAGATAGCAGAGAAGATAGATCGCTGCACATAGAGGAACAATGCGCAAGTCTTGTTTCCAGACCAGTGCTTTCTCCTGAGGACTGCGGTATGATGCATTAAAATGCTGCTCGTCAATGTCCTTGTGGTGAACAGTTAGTAACGACAGCTACAATTCGAGTTCGTATTTCACTCCGCATACATCAGACGCAATCTCAACATCGCGAGAATCTTCCACGCTTGGGTGGGGCTTCGGCTCGCTCATTTTCGCGGGTAGGCAACGAAAAGCCACGGGTAAACATGAACAAGCTTTTGAGAAGCAATTCTTCTTTTGAGCATACTTATAGGCTTGGGTCTGTCAGCACCTGTTGGAGCTCCCCCGCACAAGCGGGCTCCGCCGACTGGGGTAACCCCGTTCTGAAGAAAATGTGATTCCACGATGTCGGTGAACCTCCGACGGTCATCACCGAAGAGGGTTAACCACCTTTTAGGCACATAATAGATACAGTGTCAGTGATTGGCTGCAGTCATTACCGGAAAGGTCTGGGATCGGCATGTGTGTCTCGGCATTGCCGTTGACAGAACGGACAATATTGCAGCCAGGAAAGGAAGATGAAGTCATGCCAGCCTAGCATTGCAACTGAGCTTGGAAGCGATGTGATGCTTTCTGTTGAAACGCGACTGTTCTCTCGCAGTCTCTCGAACTTGGCCGTCCTACAGCGCAGGTGGTCACTATGAAGATGCAGGTTATTGCCCTTTGGTACTGGATTGATTTTGCTTGAAGTGTGTAGTCGATTGGGCCACGTCAGGCGGCCTTTTCGAGATTATGTGGGATATACAACCTAGATCACTAAAGACCACTCTCAGTTGCTCCATAAGGATAATTTGGACCTTGTCAGTTGCAAAGACTCACCAGTTGGCGCCGGAGGGCTCGACATCTCTCAGTGCAGCAGACGAGCTTGGACAAGTATAGCTTTCGAGTCGGCATCATGAAGGAAATATGGACCCTTCACCCGGCAGCCCTTCTGTCTTTTGACTCCGGCTTAGAAAAATAATATCAAATCCCACTGTATCTTTCCGAACAGAAGAGGTACGTGAGAAAGCAAGGATCAATCTGATTGGTCAAGGGAAAAGCTTCGAGGTTTGCCCAGTTGAGTTAGCGCCAATCATTATCTATCGATAATGATTGAATCGTGATTTTGTTGGATTTCTCTGCTGTTGTGCGTCAATTGTCTACCCTTTCTCTCTCAATGAAATGTCCTGCATATTATTCAAGCATTCATTTCTCTCATAGCATTTTAAGAGGTATAAACAGCCGCGTTGCGTCAAACTTATACTCCAATCCAGCCTTGCGCACCTCACAGATCGCAAACATGGCGACAGAAGCTACCCCTCCGCGCAGAAAGATGCCATCTGCACTGACTTTCGATCTACATAAAAAGTGCTCAGTAAGTTCTCCTTGCCGTCAAATCCTCTGGTATACTTGATTTTGATCTAATCAAGAGCAAATGTAGACAACCAAAGCGCGCGCTAGCACCCTCCATCTCCCTCATGGCTCCGTCCCGCTTCCCATCTTTATGCCGGTTGCGACACAGGCGTCCCTCAAGGGACTCACTTATGACCAGCTGAAGCAGACAGGCTGCATGCTGTGCTTGAATAATACATACCATCTGGGCCTGAAACCGGGGCAGGAGGTTCTAGATGAAGTGGGCGGAGCGCATAAGCTGCAAGGATGGGATCGGAATATCCTGACAGATAGCGGCGGGTGAGCTATGTCTATCTTCTCCTCGGCCTGGCCTGACACTGACGCCTGCAATATGTAGTTTCCAGATGGTTTCTCTCCTGAAGCTTGCAAAAGTCACCGAGGAAGGTGTCCGATTCCTCAGTCCCCACGATGGAACCCCGATGTGTGTCCTTGCCGATTCGGAGTCTCAACGGATCCCACTAACCATGGTCATTCTAGGCTACTCACACCAGAACATTCGATTTCGCTGCAGAACTCGATTGGCTCCGATATCATCATGCAGCTAGACGATGTCATTGCAACTACCTCTCCCGATCATGCCAGAATTCACGAGGCTATGGAACGATCCGT